CTGTTCTTACAATGTTCTGCTACACCTCAACATCCCTCGTACAGACGTCCCTCTTTCTGATATCCCTTCCCTCTCTCCTGTTCTTACAACGTTCTGCTACACCTCAACATCCCTCGTACAGACGTCCCTCTTTCTGATATCCCTTCCCTCTCTCCTGTTCTTACAACGTTCTGCTACACCTCAACATCCCTCGTACAGACGTCCCTCTTTCTGATACCCCTTCCCTCTCTCCTGTTCTTACAATGTTCTGCTACACCTCAACATCCCTCGTACAGACGTCCCTCTTTCTGACACCCATTCCCTCTCTCCTGTTCTTACAACGTTCTGCTACACCCTCAACATTCCTCGTACAGACGTCCCTCTTTCTGATACCCCTTCCCTCTCTCCTGTTCTTACAACGTTCTGCTACACCTCAACATCCCTCGTACAGACGTCCCTCTTTCTGATACCCATTCCCTCTCTCCTGTTCTAACAATGTTCTGCTACACCTCAACATCCCTCGTACAGACGTCCCTCTTTCTGATAACCCTACCCTCTCTCCTGTTCTTACAACGTTCTGCTACACCCTCAACATCCCTCGTACAGACGTCCCTCTTTCTGATATCCCTTCCCTCTCTCCTGTTCTTACAACGTTCTGCTACACCTCAACATCCCTCGTACAGACGTCCCTCTTTCTGATATCCCTTCCCTCGCTCCTGTTCTTACAACGTTCTGCTACTACAACCTCAACATCCCTCGTTCAGGCGTCCTCTTTCTGATAGACCCTACCCTCTCTCCTGTTCTTACAACGTTCTGCTACACCTCAACATCCCTCGTACAGACGTCCCTCTTTCTGATATCCCTTCCCTCGCTCCTGTTCTTACAACGTTCTGCTACACCCTCAACATCCTTCATTCAGGCGTCCCTCTTTCTGATACCCCTTCCCTCTCTTCTGTTCGTACAACGTTCTGCTACACCCACAACATCCCTCGTTCAGGCGTCCCTCTTTCTGATATCCCTTCCCTCGCTCCTGTTCTTACAATTTTCTGCTACAACCTCAACATCCATTGTGCAGACGTAATCTTTCTGATACCCCTTCCCTCTCTCCTGTTCTTACAATGTTCTGCTACACCCTCAACATCCATCGTGCAGACGTCCCTCTTTCTGATATCCCTTCCCTCGCTCCTGTTCTTACAATTTTCTGCTACAACCTCAACATCCATCGTACAGACGTCCCTCTTTCTGATACCCCTTCCCTCTCTCCTGTTCTTACAATGTTCTGCTACACCCTCAACATCCATCGTACAGACGTCCCTCTTTCTGATATCCCTTCCCTCTCTCCTGTTCTTACAATGTTCTGCAGCACCCTCAACATCCCTCGTACAGACGTCCCCCTTTTTGCTACCCCTCCCCCCCTCCTGCCACCATCCAGGTGGAACCACGCTCCATCTGTTCAGCAGACCTCCTGCCGTAAAAAACTCTAATCTTAACGACCCATTCTTACACGAGGTTTTCTCATTCTGTGCATGTGGGGCTGGGGAAAAATGCAGGAGATGTTTTTACCATCGGAATCACCTAACACGAACGGGAAGAGCGGAGTGGTACTGAAATAGAACCCCGGATAATATCACCCAATCCTGTGCTCAAATGTATCAGGTTTAATGACCACAAAGTTTACGACCTGATGAGGGTTTTCAATGAGGAAATCACCGTTTGAAATCGTATCCTACTTCTGAAGAACGAGTCAGTTCTTGGGCGATAATTGTACATTTTCCCCGTCTCTACCACTAGGAAATGTCGGTTTTGAAAAAAATCTGTCCATATCTCCGTTGTTTATTGTGAGATGTCATTCATGACATGCTTTAATCAAAATATACATACACGTGCCGACCAGAACAATCAAACCGAAGCTTGTTGTCTTGCCAGTAGTACCGGAGCATCGTGACATTTCCTTCCGCCGAAAATAGTTTTTTGACACATCGCAAGATATTCGTAAATAAGAAAATCAGAACAAAAAAAACCTCTGGAATACATTTATCATTAAGAACGTCTTTTCATATGCAAGCCATATATCTGAAGAGAAAATATTTCAACGTCATGAATCTTCACCGGACATTGTGCTATTGTTAAACATAGAACCAAAGGTCAAATGCCGTTAAAAGATCAATTGACAAAGTTACCAACAAAGGTTGTGTCCACGAACTGGCGTTTCTTTATTTTTTGTTAAAACTTGAATTTCTATATTATTATATGTCTTTCTGATAAGTGAGGGTATGCAATTCACAGATGGAATACATGTATTGCCCTTTTACTCTCAGTGATGTTACAATTTTCGAAAATCCTCGTGAAAGTCTGGAATAGTTCGGCAAATCTATATCTGAGCACTGATCTTTCTTCTGACCTCGGCTTTTTTCTATTACACGTTAAAAGGTATATACATTTTTCATGGGAATTACGGATAAGAGTACAGGTGCGCATCAACCTTTGCTTGTCGTGAGAGGTGAATTAACTGATTGGATGGTCAGGCTCGATGGCTTCGTTGATTGTCAATCACTGGATTGTCTGAACCAGACTCGACCGTTTACAGAGTTTGCATTACAAAACTAAAACAAACCATAAACAAAAAAACAAAAAAATTAAATTTCTTTGAGTGGATGAGTGAGTGAGTTTGGTTAACATCGCTTTGAAAAACATTTCAGCTATATCACGGCGTGTTACCTTAATGTGTGAGGAGGGGCGGTGGGGTAGTCGAGTGGTTAAAGCGTTCGCTCGTCACGCCGAAGACCCGGGTTCGATTCCCCACATGGGTACAATGTGTGAAACCCATTTCTGGTGTCCCCCGCCTTGATATTGCTTGAATATTGCTAAAGCGGCGTAAAACCATACTCACTCACTCACTAAGGTGTGTGGGAAACCAGAGGTGATGTATTGGAGAAACCTACCAGCACGAATTTCTGCGAAACCTAGTAACATAATTAGGACGAACCTGGTACTGGAACCGACGATAACAGGTTTCTGACTCGACTAAGGGACATAACTCTGCATAGCAAAATAAGTGTTAAAAGACGACGAGGCCACGATGACCTCTATTTTCATTTCAGAGATGTTAGTGTAATTGGATTTTTAAGGTGAAATAAAATTTTCAATTGTCATTAGAACTTTCAAACCTCAGAAACGTTACGGCGTTGAGATGGCGACGACATACGCCCCACGCAAAGTTAAGATAACGAAGATAATTGCCCCAATAGATGTTGGGCTAACTGAATATATGTGGTAAACTCTGTTTCTTCAATCGACATTAAATCTTAACCGTTAAAACTTTACGACGTTTAGATTGCGGCGGCAAACGCCCAAGATTCCTCGACAAGCAAAGGTAAGATAACGGAGATTTAATAATCAATGTTGACAGCTACTGCTATCTCATATATCACCAGAGGTTATGGACTATATCGTATGTAGTGTATATCGTACCTGTCTCTCAGTGAGGTTGAGAGCCATTGCTATCTCATATATCATCAGAGGTTATGGAATACATCGTATGTAGTGTATATAGTTATTGCCTCTCGGTAAGGTTGAGAGCCACTGCTATCTCATATATCATCAGGGGTTATAGAATATATCGTATGTAGTTTATACCGTACCTGTCTCTCAGTGAGGTTGAGAGCCACTGCTATCTCATATATCATCAGGGGTTATAGAATATATCGTATGTAGTTTATACCGTACCTGTCTCTCTGTGAGGTTGAGAGCCACTGCTATCTCATATATCATAGTTATAGGTTATATAATATATCGTATGTAGTTTATACTGCTATCTGTCTCTCTGTGAGGTTCGAGTGTAGTTTATACCACCTGTCTTTCAGCTATCTCATATATCATATCAGGGGTTATAGAATATATCGTATGTAGTTTATACCGTACCTGTCTCTCTGTGAGGTTGAGAGCCACTGCTATCTCATATATCATCAGGGGTTATAGAATATATCGTATGTAGTTTATACCGTACCTGTCTCTCTGTGAGGTTGAGAGCCACTGCTATCTCATATATCATCAGGGGTTATAGAATATATCGTATGTAGTTTATACCGTACCTGTCTCAGTGAGGTTGAGAGCCACTGCTATCTCATATATCATCAGGGGTTATAGAATATATCGTATGTAGTTTATACTGCACCTGTCTCTGTGTGGTTGGTTGAGAGCCATTGCTATCGCATATATCATCAGGGGTTATAGAATATATCGTATGTAGTTTATACCGTACCTGTCTCTGTGAGGTTGAGAGCCACTGCTATCTCATATATCATCAGGGGTTATAGAATATATCGTATGTAGTTTATACCGTACCTGTCTCTCTGTGAGGTTGAGAGCCATTGCTATCTCATATATCATCAGGGGTTATAGAATATATCGTATGTAGTTTATACCGTACCTGTCTCTCAGTGAGGTTGAGAGCCATTGCTATCTCATATATCATCAGGGGTTATAGAATATATCGTATGTAGTTTATACCGTACCTGTCTCTCTGTGAGGTTGAGAGCCACTGCTATCTCATATATCATCAGGGGTTATAGAATATATCGTATCTAGTGTATACCGTACCTGTCTCTCAGTGAGGTTGAGAGCCACTGCTATCTCATATATCATCAGGGGTTATAGAATATATCGTGTGTAGTTTATACCGTACCTGTCTCTCAGTGAGGTTGAGAGCCACTGCTATCTCATATATCATCAGGGGTTATAGAATATATCGTGTGTAGTTTATACCGTACCTGTCTCTCAGTGAGGTTGAGAGCCACTGCTATCTCAAATATCATCAGGGTTATAGAATATATCGTGTGTAGTTTATACCGCACCTGTCTCAGTGAGGTTGAGAGCCACTGCTATCTCATATATCATCAGGGGTTATAGAATATATCGTATGTAGTTTATACCGTACCTGTCTCTCAGTGAGGTTGAGAGCCACTGCTATCTCATATATCATCAGAGGTTATAGAATATATCGTATGTAGTTTATACCGTACCTGTCTCTCAGTGAGGTTGAGAGCCACTGCTATCTCATATCGCCGTAACCGGGTGAGGTAGTTGTGAACTGCAAACTCCTTCTCTAGTTCCCGGATCTGATGTTTGGTGAACGCCGTCCGCTCTTTTCGGGGTTTTGTGGAAAGATCGAGTTTGTAGGATGGACTTGTGGCTGAATCTGAAACCATATGACAATTATGTTAACACCAGAAAAGTCAATATTTTGAGTAAAATTCTTAAACTATAATCGACAAATCTATTACTCACAATCTCACAGGAAACATCAGCGACTGACTGAATGAGACTCATGGTTTGAATATGTAGTCAATAATTAATACAGGTTTCTTTACTATATTTATAGTTTCAATAAAATACATATCATCTTAGGCTGTAAACATCATGGATCTTCCTCATGATGGTTATTATGAACATTAGGATGATCACTAGAAAACTTTGAATAGTTTATGTAGGAAGATTTATATCAACAGGTAGAGGACTCAGGGATGGTGTTATCACAATGTATTTAAAGGAAGTCTGTCGGCAGTTCAGTAGGCCTACTTGGAAGTTGTACGTTCTGGCCAAAATGGCTCATTATTTCTGATGGGTTGTACTAACTTTGCAAGTTAATAGCCATAGGCTGATCCAGGAATTTTCATTCAAAGGGAAGTGTGTGTGTGTGTGTGTGTGTGTGTGTGTGTTTTGTAGGGGGACCTTAAAACACCCACCCGCCCACCCACCTCTCTGATCCGCCAATGATAGGTGCAAAAGAAACCCAATCCTCAGAAACCAAATCCGTTTTGTCATAATTCAAACTTGCTCAGATCGCCAATTTCGCCTTTAGAGGTAAATACATCAATTGCGTAGAAATAAAAGCAACAAAACCCTTTTCATTATCAAAAGCAAACCTTTCTTACGGCAGAATTAACCTTGTGCGATTCCTTCCATCATAAGCACATCAGTTTCCCGAACCAATAATGCAATGACGTATTTTAGGGATTCATTCACATAATGTTCAAGCCTCTTTTGCGAATAAAACTGATTTCGGGACTTATGATTATTTTCTGGCGTTGGCGTTGACGTTGATGTTAATGTTGACGTCTCTTGTGCATAGATAAAGAGACAGAACAACGTTGTTCCCGTTGTATCGAAGAGATCGATATGTCATCGACACAACCCGCTATGATACCAACAACCAATACTTATCGAAAGGGTCACTGACTTGGTTGATGCATGTCATCATATCCAAATTACGTAGATCGATGCTCATGATATCAATCACTGTTTTATCTGGTCGAGACTGATTGTGTAGAGACCACCGTGCAAGACCACGGAACAGATTGCGGCGTTCAACAACATGCAAATATACATACACGCACTCAGTATTTTTCAATTATCAATTTGGTTATAATAAGTAGAATGTTTTTAGAAGAAATGATAAAATATCAATACAACTTACTTGAGGGCATGATCACGATATTAAACAAGATCGAAATTCATCGGTCAAAGAATGAAAGAATTACTTATCTTATATGAAGTGAATTTAGAAAGACCTTTTGGGTCAGAACATAACGGTTTTGTATTTGTCAAGGAGCAAAATCGTCTATCCTCGGAAATTGCCAGTCATTAAATCCTACGGATCAGCGCAGCGATTGCAGTCAAACAAAGCGTAAGGTTTTGAAATTTGAAGACTTACTTGAATAAACAATAACGGTATTGCAGATAATTGGGAACATATGATATGATGAGATTACATTGTCTTTTTCCTATGAAACTACAGAAGAAAATTATCCGAATATCTAATAACAAAGATTGCTTAATGCATCAAGACTGATATGATCCTCACGGGTCCTATGACACAGACAGTGGCGTGTTTGTGTATATTACAAAAGATCCAGGTATTTTATTTCAGACATATGTGTAAGTTGGATGATATTGTTAGCACACAGCTATATAACTGATAAAAGTGCCGAAACCTGCGACACAACTCGAACAATCTAAACAGTAAAAAAACTGACGTAAAAACGTACGGAATTTTGGGATTCTTTTCCAAAATAACGTAACTATATGAAGTGTGTACAAGTCACAAAGATCGTGTACGTGTTGCCAACGCAGTGAGTGTGTAGTTTCTTTTGTTCGTCAGTTCACAAAACGTCAAGGCCTGAAAACAACCGATTATACGACGAACAGATTCCGCTGTGCGTAAAATGCAGAAGAGCAGTGAAAATTATATGAATGGATTACTCAAAATGGGTTTCTCCTGAAAATAAACACACAAGACATTTTCGATCTAAACATGCGATGGAATGTGTTTATAAGTTCGATTTGTCATATCTAAACATGTTTACGTTCAAAACACCCTAAACATCATCTAAACACTGCATTCCTAAAATCCTAAGATATTTAGATTTTTTATATGTGTACGGCAAAGTGCTGTTATTCAAACAATCTGAACATGTTTACGACGAAGTGAATATCATTGTATATTATCCTAATAATAATTTTAGACACAATGCTAAACATGTTCAGAAAATTAAACGTTTCAAAATAAAGAGACAAGGCACCGCGTAAGTTTGTGTTTAAAATCTAAAAACATTTTACAGTGTAAAAGCAAACAGTATCTATTGTACAATTTGTTTGTGAATCCCAGGTGGTACACGAGACAAACACATGTAGAGGCAAGTCAATTGGGCAATTCATAAAGCAATACATATGACAAGGACCCATTTGTCCTTACGCAACATACTCAAATCTGGGAAATCACAGTGGGGAAAATCGCTCTTGACGGACAAAACGTTAAATAAAAACAAACGATATTTCAGTCGAGAGTGACTGTGATAGGGTTCACAACATTCAGATTAAATAGCGAATTTTCAGCCGAGAGTGAATATCGTTTGGCTTAACAACCTTTTGAGTAAACCAAAATAATTTTCAGTCGAGAATGAATATCGCAGGCTTACAACCTTCAGAGTGAAACAAGCGATATCTCGGCGAAGTTGTGAATGTTGTAGGGCTTAAAACCTTTTGAGAAACACAACAAATTGAACTTGAACTCGAGAATGAACTTCGTGGGGCTCATAACAATAAATAGTTTAGTCATTGTATTATTTATAAAGTCAATGAAGAACCTACGAATGTCTTGAAGTTCCTTGCAGAGAAACTGCATTGCGGTGTATTGTTATCAACATTATCAACGTTTGGCCCCATGAGGAACTATGACGTCATATCTCACTATTCTCAACAATGAAGCAATTGAAGAAACACGTCATAATCGATGATCACTTACTTGCGCTTATCCAAATATCGGATAGTTAATCATTGTACCTCTACATCAATTATGCCCTGACCAATTCATAGCCTGTACCGACGTCAGCTCATGTCGAAGATATGCTCTACCCATAACCCTTTCCACAAAACCTCTAAAATACACTTTATCTATTTGCGAGTATTGAAATCAAAACAAACTTCAGTTGTCAACGAATACAGACTTAGGATGAAGTTTCTTCCGAAGTTTGAGTTTTTCGTGCTTGCAAAGACTGCATTCAAAAGTCTTTCTTAACCCAATTTAAAAATGTGACTTAAATATGTTTTGTCACGCAATTTGATACACACATTCATGGATTGTCCGGAACTTATTACATTAGGTTGGCTGTTACAGAAAGTAACCATTTACGTCAGCTCACATTCACATAATATAAACTTGTTTAATTATATCATCTAATGAAACCTAAGTTCTGCTACACCAATCGCCTCGCATGTTGGGCGTTTTCATAAAATATTTCGTGGAGGGCGAATCACAGAAATGGATTAACCAGCCTTTCAGCCATATTTCGGAAGTGGCACTATTTTACGGCCATGACAACTGTACGTATCCCTCCGCGACACAAGGAAGCAATCTGATTGGTAGTTCGGCCAAACGGAGGAGCGTTGCATAAAAGTTATGGTGTCGGTGTACAACACTTGTCAAGAGCGTGTTCAAAACTAATTATGGGACAAATTGAACACAGATATGGCGTGTGCCTCAACCTGAAAGTCCCGTTTTAGTTCAAATCTGGCTTTTATCAATACCACATTCGTGGCCCGGTATGGCATAAGCGACCCCTTCGTTCCGTTAACAGCAAGACGTAGGCGATGGAGTCAAGCCTACCGGGTATTGCCACACACTGAATGGAACATATAAAATACTCGTTTTATGCCACTGGAGGCCACGGTTGTTCTCTTTGTGAAATAATTTCGCAATTTGGAAGCCACTTTTTACCTCGTCTGAGTTGCATTATTTAGGATACATTGTCAGTGTTGAAAGACTGCCCCCTTGAATTAGTGTCAGACTTGTATATATTTTTTCTTAAAAGTAGAAAACCAACACTGTTTATGTTTTTGAACTGAATTCTAGAAGCTGATTATAGTTGTATATATGTGAGTGAAAAACAAACACTTGCTTTTGATCAGAGGTTTTTAACAACAAAAATCACATGTTTTATCGAGGCCAAGTATGAACTGTGCACTTGTATTTTTCTAAAAAGCATATCTCAATGAATGTTAACCAGATTATCACTCGAAAACATGATACATTTGATGAATAACATCTTCTTGGTTGTTTTAAACAACGGTTAGTTCTTCCCCATTCATCATTTGTAAATGTTAGGATTTAAAAACAGAAGTTTTAATTGCAAAGTAAATATTTCAACGCTATCTTCAGAAAGAGGATTTATATAAATATGGATACAAATGTGACACAACTGAACCAGGTGATCAGATTTTACTCCATAAATGACCAAATCTTTTCATCGTACAAAAACCGAATTTAAGAATGAATGGTCGTATTATTTGAATTCTACCGGATATGTGTTCCTCACATGGCGCAGGAAAGAACCTGCTATATTTATTTTAAAATACATATTTCATGTTGATATCTGCATTGCATTTTCGCAGCGTTTCATTTACGCTAAACATGAATCATGAGCGAGTAGAAGGCCGGTTGAGAAATAGAACCAGTCCCTATGACAAAGTAGCACGCACTCGTTAACACTGACTTCGGAAATGTTTCTCTGGGCGTTTTTCATGGCTCCCAACAACTCGTCAGTTTGGGGCGAAGGCAAGCTGTGGTGGCAAAAAATGTGTTTTTTGGCGTAAATTCTGAAAATACTACTTCATATACATATTTGATGTGGCTTATAAAAT